ATTCTGGATAGATCTGGAAAGATGACAGTGTAAATGTATGAGAGAGCATGGGAGAAAAGAGACAAGAAGAATGGCAAGATTTTTGACCTGAACAACTAGAAGGATGCAGTTGCTAGGTACTGAGATGGGGACCACTTTGGAGGAGCAGTTTGAGTTGGAAGATCAAAAGTATGAACGTGGATCTAGGTGTGGGATGCCCAGTGGATATACAAGGCAGAGATAAGCAACTAGGGGTTCAAAGACTACTGAGCTGGAATTGTGCATTGAGGAGTCTTCAGCACACAGTGTTCTTCTTAAATCAGATAAACTAGACAATGGCAATGGAGTAAATATAGAAAAAAGGAAGAATTCTGAGGACTGCATCTTACAACTCTCCAATGTTTGGAGGTCAAGGCAATGAGGAGGAAGCAGCAAATGAACGGCCTGAGAAGTGAAGCAAATAAATCAGGATGAATTACTCACAGAGAACATGGAACAGCTTGAACTTAGGTGGTGCTTCTGTGTCACACATTCCTTTTATTCTATTGAAACATATTCAGAACACCTCTTTATCCATTTCATATCTCTGATGCCCATCCAGAATTCACAGGAAAGGCTGTTGACAGATTCTGTTAATTACTTCCCAAATCTACATTTAAACCAAAAAAAAAAACTATAGATGCTGAATTTAATTATTAATTGCATTATTTATCAGGAAGAATAGGGCTATTAGCTTGACTATGAAATTTATGAAAATAAAACATTATCAATAGGGGTGGGCATTTAGCTCAATGGTTCTGCGTCTGCCTTGCAAGCGCAAGGTCCCGAGTTCGATCCCTGGTACCAAAAAAAATTATCAATAATATTAAGGACTGCTAGAATCATGTCCATCAAATGGGATTTATTTAATAATTATTTACAAGTTTCCTTTGAGATGAGATAAAAGAATGAACACTCGTTGGGAGAAAAATAAAGAGACAGGTGTGGGAACAAGTAAAGAATGAAAGCAGAATTGTGCTGAAAACATAAAAGCTTAATTAAAAGGAAGGTTAGAGCAAATTCCTGAAAAGAAACTATAATAATCATTGTTAGGAAGTAAAATGTCAAATGTAGGTGCTTGATTGGTCTTTTGGGAGGAAAAATACTGTGAAAATTTTATAAACATTGCAAGAAGGAAATTGGTTAAATATAGTGTAAAATGAAAATGTGGAGTAATGTCCAGGCATGGTGGCACATGGTGGCACATCCCTTTAATCCCAGCACTTGGGAGGCTGAGACAGGAGGATTGCCAGAGGTTTGAGGCCAGCCTGGGCTACATAGTACAAGTTCAAAACCAGCCTGAATTACAGAGCAACACCCTGTCAAAAACAAAGAAATGTGGGCTGGGTGTGGTGGTTCACACCTGTAATCCCAGCACTTGGAGACTGAGGCAGGAAGATCACTGTGAGTTTGAGGCCAGCCTGGGCTACAGAGCGAATTCAAGGCCAGTCTGAACTACATAGCAAGACTTTGTCTCAAAAAACTAAAAGCAAATGTGGAGTACTACTTAGCCATTAAACCATAATTCATAGGAATATTTGATAATTCTGAAAAATATTTAGAGTATATTATTATGAGCAGAAGGTAGAAATTAATATTCACATGCCTTAGGTATGTAATGAATTTTGTGTTTTCAGTTTTAATAAAAGAACAAGAAAGATGAGTGTAGTGGTAGGCACCTGTGATTTCAGCACTCGAGAGGCTGAGGCAGGATAACCATGAGTTCGAGGCCAGCCTAGGCTACATAGTGAGTTCAGGATCAGCCTGAACTACATAATCAGACCTTGTCTCAAAAAAAAAAAAAGCCAGAAGCAGATTATAGCGTTGTATGTAAACTATCCTTTTGTGGGGAAAGGGTGTTGGGGAATGAACTCAGGACCTTCCCACTGAGCTACATTTCCAGTCCTTTTTTATTTTTCATTTTAAAACAGGGTCTTGCTAAATTGTTAAGTTGTCCAGGGTGGGCCTGAATTTGCAATACTCCTGCCTTAGCATCCCAGAGTGCTGGGATTACAGGAATGTGCCACCACACATGGCTAAAATATCTTAATTTTTTTTCTTTTTTCCGTATCCAGGGTTCGAACTCAGGACCTTCCAATTGCCAGACAAGCACAGTGCCACTGAGCTACATCCCTGGTCCCTAAAATATCTTAATTTTTAAACTCAAAATGCAAAAAGAAAAATAATTTCAATATGTACATTAAAAAGTTAGTGGGATATGGGCTGGAGATTTAGCTCAGTGGTTTCGCCACCTGCTGCGCAAGTGCAAGGACCTGAGTTCGATCCCCGGTACCAAAAAAAAAAAAAGTTAGTGGGATAACAATGAATGACTTTAATTTTCTTGATGCTTTCAAATATTTCCAAAGTAAGTATTTTTATAAGAGAGCAAAACAAAAAATTAGAAGCTGCTAAAAGTCTGGTAGACATCAAAGCCCAGTGAGTGAAATCAAAACAATTTAACCTAGCACTCTAATCAGAAGCTAAGGGCTGCTGGGTATATCTCTGTAAGGGACAAGAAGAGTTTTGGTTTGGTTTGATTGTTGTAAAACCAATATGGAGAAAGGAAATTTTAATAGACCTGGTTAGAAACCAACATGATTAAAATATTAACATAACATTAATATATCATTAAATTTGCAAAAAAGTTTTAAAATTTAAGAGCAGATGCTTGAATGTGGCTATTTATATATACATATATATTTCTATGTACTAAATTATTATTCATGTTCATCTATATTTAGCAGTGATGTATTTTATTTATTTATTTTTGGTACTGGGGATAGAACTCAGGACCTTGCACTTGCAAGGCAGGCGCAGTGCCACTGAGCTAAATCCCCAGCCCGAAGTGATGTATTTTAGGACATCTCTATTTATCTGTGGCTTTTCTTTCAGACAAGGTCTCCCTAGGCAATCCAGGCCAGCCTTAAATTCACTATTTAGCCCCAGGCTGGCCTCGAACTCACAATTCTCTTGCTCTATCCTCCCAAGAGCTGGATTACAGGTTTGCGCCACCATATCTGGGTTCACAACACTTTTTGAAAGCAATTTAGAAACAGATGAACCATAAAATGTACATATTCAAAATGGCATAGCCACTGTGGAAAAGTTTGTCAGCTTCTTATAAAACTAAGCATATATGGGGCTGGGGGTTTAGCTCTGTTGTGCTGCACCTGCCTGGCAAGTGCAAGGTCCTGAGTTCAATTTCCAGTACTGGGGGGTGGGGGAAGGATATGACAACCCTATGAATACCAAAAATTGCACTCTGGGCAATTATCACAGAGAAATGAAAATTTATGATTACACAAAAACCTGTACATGTTTACTTACAGCAAGTTTATGCATAATAGCCCCAAATTGAAGACAATTTAGATATCCTTCAAAAGAAGAGTAAACAAACCATGGATATGTAGCAATAAAAAGGAATTATTGATACATGCAACAAGTTGGATTATCTCCAGAGAATTATGCTGAGATCCTAAGAAGTCACATGCTATGTGATTCCATTGCAGGAACACTTTGAAACAACAAAATTATAGAAATGGGAACAGATTAGCCATGGCAGGAGCATAGCTAAGGGAGGTGTGGATCTAAAAGGGCAACTATAGGGATCCTCGTGATGATAAAAAATGTCTGGACTGTAAAAATGTCAGTGATAAACCTGGGGTGGTGGTGAACGCCTGTAATCCCAGCACTTGGGAGGTTGAGGCAGGAGGATCACTTTGAGTTCAAGGCCAGCCTGGTCTACATAGTGAGTTCAAGTCTGCCTGAACTACACAGCATAGCCTTGTCTCAAAAAACAAAAACAAACAAAAATAAATTAAAATGTCAATATCCGGGTTGTGATGTAGTATAGTTTTGCATGATGTTACTAACAAAGTAAACAGAACTTGGTATCTCTCTGCATTATATCTTGTAAGAATTGTATGTGCAATCTCAAAATAAATTTACTTTTAAAAAAATGTACATCTTTTGGTCAGCTATCCCAGTTCTGGAAATCTATCCTAGGGATATAATTCAAAAGAAGAAAAAAAAAGGTTGTGTATACTGTGTTCACTACAGTGCTTTTTACAACAGGGAAAAGAAATGGTCTAAGTGTCCAAACAGGGAAATAGGTAAGTCATGACGTAGCTAAGAATTAGTTGATGCAGCAACAAAGAAATGTTCTTTGAAAAAGGAGAATCCAAAATTATGGCACAATATGACAGCTCCATGAAGGGGACTGGGTATCACACGAAACTTTTAATAGTACTCTATGAAATTCTAGCAGAAATGGTTTCCTTCTCGCAAACTCTTACGTGATGTTGTTACATGGTTTTTATATGGCTTGGGGTGGGAAGGAATAACATCAAAGGACAGTTGCAAATATCAGCGTCCAACAAAAAGTTCTTTCAATTTGTCCCTTCAGTAGGAGCGCAAATTTCATTTTCAGACTCCTTCCAGGCTTTGACCAAAGATGCACACGAGGGCCCCCAAAGAACCGAGTCCAGGGAAGTTGAGGTGATTAGGCACCGGTCGCCTGTACAGCGCCACCCCAAGACCCCACCAGGAATCCAGGGAAGGAAGGCGAGGAGGGCGGTTGCTACCTACAGGTAATGACCACTCCAAGGTCACAACGGAGAGCCCGGCGGGCTTGGACTGGCCCCGGACTCTCCAAGTCTGATCAGGTTGCGTTCTCTGCCCCACGCCACTCGCCCCATCCAGAACCACGACCCCACTGCTCCCAGAGGCTCGGCGGCGGCGACTCCCACTTTGCAGGTTGGCGACTGCCAAGGTCTTCGCTCCAAGCTCAGCTTCACCACACCTCGTCCAGGGTCAAAGACCCTCGTACGCCACATGGCAGTGTAGCCCAGACAGGCGCCCTCATCTTTTTTCGCCCTCTCAACCCAGCTTTTCCCGACTCCGGGAAGAACCGGGAAGAGAAGGCGGAGGGCAGGGAGACGCCGCCTAATAAATACCATGCCCTGGTCCCGCCCCAAAACGTCACTTCCGCCGGCGGCAACATGGAGGGCCTCAGGCCTTGCCACGCAGACTTCCGCCCGGCGCAAAGACCAAGGGCCGGTGGAGCGTCAGGTCAGAGGTGAAGCGACGCGCAGTGTGAAGCTGCAGCCCAGTTGCGTCCCAGCCTCGTGCCTGGCGGGGTGCTTGGAGGGTGGGTGGCAAGCGAAAGGATTAGCCAGGGTGATCGGGGAGCCTCGCCACGTGGGAGGGGAGGGGCTGAGGCGCGGCGGGAGCGACGCACTGCCGGGGAGGGGGCGGGAGCCACATGGGTGGGGTTCCGCCCTGAGTCCGAGTGTGGGTCCCTTGCAGTGTCTTGGTTGTCCGTTCTCTCCCAGGCAGCATGTCGGAAGGAAACGCCGCTGGCGGGCCCAGCACTCCGGGAGGGCCGCGACCCATCCTGTCTGGGTCCCGGGGACTTATTGGGCGGCGACCCGCACCCTCTCTCCCACCGGGCCGCCTTCCCTCCATGCGCTCCAGGGACCTCACCCTCGGGGGAGTCAAGAAGGTACCTGACCCATAATTCTAAACGGACAACTGCTCTGAATTACAGACCCCTCAGATTCAGCTCCTGTTCTTGTAGGGCCTCTTGAACTTTGTCCCCAGACTTCCACCTACCCTTCTTCACATTCGAGGGAACCTAGTGTATCTTCAAGTCTAGATACTGGGCACAAGATGTTCAGATAGTTCTGAGAGGTAGTCGAAGGGCAGCGATCCTAAGTAGCTCAAGACATTCAAAAGCAACTGGAGCAGTGCTTATTTGCCTTGGCGGGGGGGGGGGGTGAGGGAGGGTCTCACTTTGTACTCTAGGCTGGCCTTGAACTGGCAACAGTCCTACCTCAGCCCCCAAGTTCTCAGATTACAGGTGTAGGCCACCACGCACACCTTATTTGCTTTAATTGAATGTTTTGGATGTTTTAAAACGAAATCAGGCAGGTTTTAACTTTGTGATATTGAGACTTCAGAATTCATGGTTAAGAGTGTACAGACTTCTAGTACAGTGTATAATGAGTCCTAGGCATGGCTTTAGAGGGCCTGGCCCTCTCCCACTATGTGCATGTAAAGGAGAAGGTAGAATGACAGTGTAAAGTGGCCAGCTTTTTAAACACTTCACTTGGCCTCAAAAAATTCTATGACAGTCAGTCTGTGTTATCCATTAATGAGTACTGCCCAATCTCATCTGTCTTCCCTACTTAAACCTCCCTGCTAGAACTGTTTCCCTGAGATACTGACTGGTTAGTCTCCGTAGCATTTTGGTACTGGGGATTGAACTCGGACCTTAGGCTTGCAAGGCAGCTGGTGGAACCACTGAGCTAAATCCCCGGCCTCTCCATAGCATTTTGAAGACAAGAGGTGAGATTAGAACAGCTCCTTTGCTTTGGAATCTGGGAGTCTCCTGTCAGAGAGCAGAAGCTGAGGCTGCTAGTTAAAATAGTTTGGGGTGCCCCTTGTGTGTGTAACTCCGCCGCCTCCATGGCATGATAACCTGTGTCTCTAAAACTGACAACAGTGTGGAATGTGCAGAAGAGAGCTGTGGTGATGTCCGTTAGGAGTGTTCATTTTCCTTTGTACTTTGGGGTCATGACTTAGCAAATCAGTGACTCCTGTATTTTACTTTCAGAAAACCTTCACCCCAAATATCATCAGTCGGAAGATCAAGGAAGAGTAAGTAGCTAGGTCTGCTGAATACTTGCCCTTTATTTACTGAATTTGGGACTTTGGGGAAGTAACTAGTATGGCTCAAAAATTCGAATTTGTGCTCTTGTTCTTTTCATTTGTGATTTTCATCCCTGACTCCCAGATATAATGTGCAAACTTTAAAAAACACAAATACTTGAGGATCCGTGCATTACTAAACATTCTGCTGTTGTAACAAATACATGAGATAATCAATTTATTAAAGAAAAAAGGTTTGTTTGGGCTCACAGTTTTGGAACTTTCGATCCATGATTGTTGGCCTTGTTGCTTTGGGGATTGTAGCAAAATAGCACATCATGGCATAGAGTATGTGGTAGAGTGAAGCCACTCCTCTATCTTGTGGACTTGGTGCAGAAGAAGAGGGCTCCACTGCCCCCTTCAAGGGCACAGCCCATGCCTGGAAGACCTCCTCCAAGGCCCCACCTCAAGGTTTCTAGCACCTGCTGATAGTGCCAAGCTGGAGACTTACATATGTGACACATGGGCCTTTGGGAGATGCTTAAGATCCAAAGTGCAGCAGTCCATCTTTAGAAACTCATTTACCTGTGATTTCATAGTGGAATGCATTGACTCACAGAGTTGAGAGCCATTATTTTAAATAAAGATGGTTCATGCTTTGCCTTACATTCATGAATGTGAACATTCCAGCCTTCTTGGTTTGAGGCAATGAAAACATCCACAGTTTTGGACAAGGAGGTAAAGTAAAGCAAACTAAAGGACGCTTGCTCCATCAAGGAAGTGAGAAAAGTAGCAGACCTATATTGATTTCGCTTCTCATGGTGCACTCATTGGCTTCTGAGCCCTGCATAGTAGGGTGGATGGAGTTCGAGAGTAGGGTCAGTTTTCTGAGGCACAGGGAGTAAGTAGCTTCCCTTCATCCATTTTCTTTTCCAGGCCTAAGGAAGAAGCAACCGTGAAGAAGGAGAAGCGTGAGCGGGATAGGGACCGCCAGCGGGAGGGCCATGGACGAGGCCGGGGCCGCCCAGAAGTGATCCAGTCCCACTCTATCTTTGAGCAAGGCCCTGCAGAAATGATGAAGAAAAAAGGTACAAGCAAGGGATCCCTAGTGGGTTTCAGTTCAGGCAGCTTGAGAGGACAAGAGTGACGGAATTCCCCTGCCTGCAGTTTAGTTGCCCTTGCTGTTGCTCTCTTCCTTATTTATCCTTAGTAAACAGCGTGATTTCCCACAGGGAACTGGGATAAGACGGTGGATATGTCGGACATTGGACCCTCTCATATCATCAACATCAAAAAGGAGAAGAGGGAGACGGATGAAGAAACCAAGCAGATCCTGCGCATGCTGGAGAAGGATGATGTAGGTGCCAGGAGGTGGAGGGCTTTCTTGTGGCTTCTGGAGAGCTGGGTCAGGGTTACCCTGGATTCCTGGTGAGCAGCTGGCACCTGTGGCTAGAAGAGGACCGAGGTGGGCTGATCTGGGCACATGTACTGGCAGGCTGTGTGACCTTGACTGTTCTCTGGCAGTTCATTGATGACCCTGGACTGAGGAATGACACACGAAACATGCCTGTACAGTTACCACTGGCTCACTCAGGGTGGCTTTTTAAGGACGAGAGTGAGGAGCCAGATGTTAAGCCTTGGCTGGCTGGTGCCAAGGAGGAGGACATGGAGATAAATACACCTGCGGTGAAAGGTATTTTGTGTTAACATCTGCCCCTGTCCATGGCTGCCCCAGGGAACCTTCAATGTGAGCTTCTGAGATTGCTGCACACGAACAGATCCCCTCCCATTCCAGCTCTGAAATACAGGAGCTGAACAAAGAGGTGCATCCCCACCCCCATTCCCAGAGGGTTCATATGATAACATGGCTCTGTGGACCCAGCCTCAGATGTCCTATTTGAATTTTTTTTTTCTCCGAGACAAGGTCCCACTGTGTAGCCCAGGCTGCCTTGAACTCACAGTGATCCTCCTGCCTCAGCCTCCCGAGTGCTGGGATTACAGGCATGTGCCACCACACCTGGCCAGATGTCCTATCTTTATTTTATTATTTTTACCCCCCAGTGCTGAGGATTGCACCCAAAGGCTTTGCACTGAGCTACGTCACCAGTCCTTTTTAATTTGATACAGGGTCTTGCAGAGTCACTAAGTTGCCCAAGCTCGGCTTGAACTTGGGATCCTCCTGCCTCAGCCTCCCAGGATGCTGGGATTACAGGCATGTGCCACCACACCCAGCTAGATGTCTCATTTTAGGGGACTAACACACCACTGGAATGTGCTGTCTCTTGCCCCGCTCCAGCTTCCTGGCTGGATAACAGAGGGGTAAATTGGGGTGAAGGGCAGCGAACGAAGAGATGGCATGGAGGATAGTGAGTTGGTGTCTCTCCTTTGTTTCACCTGAGCAGTGAAAGAGGAGCCTGGAGATGAGGCCGAGATGAAGGCTCCTCCCAGGCTAGCTAGGAAGACCCCAGGCCTTCCAAAGGATGTGTCTGTGGCCGAGCTGCTCCGGGAGCTCAGCCTCACGAAGGATGAGGAGCTGCTGTTCCTCCAGCTGCCAGACACCCTCCCCGGCCAGCCACCCACTCAGGACATCAAGCCTGTCAAGACAGAGGTGCAGGGCGACGATGGACAGATGGTGGTCATAAAGCAAGAAAAGGACCGGGTATGCCCAGGAGCAAGTTCCGGGAAAACTCAGGGTAGGGCACCAGGAGCAGAAGCTGACCCATAGAGGGACGTGAGAAAGTGGGTCCAAGCTGAGATAAGAGTATGGGCATTTGTTCTTAGCACTAGAGAGTCTTGGGCCTTGCACTTCCGGAACCAGTTTGCTTTGTGAAACTCATGTACCATCACTCAGCTTTAGTAATTATGTATATTTTGTGGAGCTCTTTCTGACTGCTGCTGCCCATGCCTCGCTCTGGGAGGTAGAATGGACTTCACTCATGAAAGGTAGAAGAGTGAACTCACAGTCTCCATCCCCTGCTTCTCCCCCAGGAAGCCAGGCTGGCAGAGAACTCTTGCACCTTGGCTGACCTGACCGAGGGCCAAGTTGGCAAGCTGCTCATCCGTAAGTCAGGGAAGGTACAGCTCCTCCTGGGAAAGGTGACTCTGGACGTGACCATGGGAAGCACTTGTTCCTTCCTGCAGGTGTGAGCTGGGGGCTGGGGAGAGGCTGTGGGCAGGGCTGGGAAGGGGCCAGTGCTAAGGAAGGCTGGGCAGTCCCTGGGCACATCACATCTGAGGCTGGGCACAGTGTGATTGTCATCTCTGTCTCTTGTCCATTGGCAGGAGCTGGTGTCTGTGGGCCTTGGAGACAGTAGGACAGGGGACATGACAGTCCTGGGACACGTGAAGCACAAACTTGTCTGTTCCCCTGATTTTGAATCCCTCTTGGATCACAAACACCGGTAAAATGAGCAGATGGAGGAGGATGGCGACTGTGCCCACAGCTGCCGCCTGCTCCAGACATTTTGTTCCTACATCCATGTGACCCAGAAGGGGCCTGGGGAGACCACCCACTCCAGCCTTTGGCAGCCATCAGTTACCCCCCGCTGGAGCCCACGCAGCTCCCTCCCCCGGCAGCTGTGAACTGCACAGTGACCTTCCCACAGTGTGGATACAGATGGCATGTTCTCGCTGCTGGGCACCTGCCCCACTATTGCTATTTATTTTTATATTTATGTCTTAATCTCCTCAGTTGAGTGTACCTTCCCGAGGTAGGTTCCACAGGCTCCTTGTCTTGGAGAACCTCAGGCTGCAGAGATGGAAATGACTTGGCTTCTGCTCTCTCCTTCCCCAGAGGCAGGAAGGAGAGAGCGAGCAGGAGGCAGTCTGGAGCATGCAGCCCCAGCTCATTGGTTCCTAGTTCTCAGCCCTTAGACAAACTGCCTAACTTTTCTGAGCATCGTATTCCTCATCTGACAGAAATGGGGGTGATACAGAAATGGGGGTGCTACCTACCTCACAGAGTTGGTGTGAGGATCAAGGGGAATATTGTGGATGGAACTCTGCAGAGGCCAGAGATATACCCATAGGCTTTCAATAAACATTAGTTTTCTCTTTGCTTTGCCTGAGTCTATTTTCGAACAAAATGGACAGTCTTGCTGGGTGTGCACACCTGTAATCCCAGCACTTGGGAGGCAGAGGCAGGAGGATCTCTGTGAGTTTGAAGCCAGCCTGGGCTACATAGCTCAAGGCCAGACTGAAATACATAGACTTTGACTCAACAAAAAAGACACTCCTTAAGACTCTCAAAAGAAATGTCTAGAAACCAGGCATGGTCACACATGCCTGTAATCTCAGCACCCTGGGAGCCTGAGGCAGGAGAATCGCTAGCTCAAGACCAGCCTGGGCAACTTAGCAACTTAAGAGACCTTGTCTCAAAAAAAGAAGGGCTGGGGATATAGCTCTGTGAAGGTCCTGAGTTTAATCCCCAGTACTGCTCAACAACAAAATGACTAGCTCCTCGCACTCCCACTTTTGTATGTCCCATCCCCACCCTGAGCCTGGTGCTCCAAATGGTCAGGTCCACTGTTCTGTGCCTTTTTCTCCCTGTTACTCTGAGCCAGATGGCTTCCTGTGGGAGGTACTGGCCATAGATTGTGTTGGAAGAAGTCAGAGACCCCTCCCATCACCTGCAAAAGCCTTTGAGTGATGTGGGCAGTACTCAGCTCCTGCATCTCCACCCGGCAACAAGTAGCCAGTTATCTTCTGGCTTCCATTAAAATACTTTTTGGAGGAAACCTGTGGCTACTCACAGGACATTATCACTATACTTCAGTCAAATAGTGCTAAAAGAACAAACTTTTGGTAAAATAGATGTTTTTGTTTAAGAGGATCTTGATACGTAGTTTAGGTTGGTCTTAAATTCATAGTGATCCTCTTGCCTCAGCCTCCCAAGTGCTGGGATTACAGACAGACATGCAGCACCATGCCCCGATAAGGTAAGATAAGACTTTAGAGCTTGACACTTGACAGGTGACCTCTCACTTTGAAAGCTTTGGCAGATGTGATGGTATACACCTGTCATCCCAGCTACTCAGGAGGCTGAAGCAGGAGTATTGCTAGTTTGAGTTTATCCCAGACAACTTATGCCTTGCCTCAGAATTTTATAAAAGGGCTGAAGATGTAGCTCGCTACTCCCTGGGTTCAATCCCCAGTACTGCATCATGCATAAATAAAAACTTTGCTTTTGAAAAGCCCTCCTCATCCCCTATCCTAGCATCACGAGGTCTACTACTCATCCTGGATCCCGTTCCCTGGTGCCAGGCTCACCATGGAGCTCACGAGTCTGTGATCTCACTTCCCTGACCAGATCATCACACTCTGTAGGCCTTGGAAGAGCAGATTCTCTTCCTGTGCCCTTGTCGAGGCGACACCGGGGGTTAGAGCAAAGCTCCATGAGCAGTGTTGGGTGGTGGTTTCCATGCAAACTGCTGCTCCTGCTACTGTGTCTTCACATGATGCCTCTGCAATGGAGATGAAGCCCTGGTCCAGTGATCAGTGCCTCTGACTGCCAGGTGGGCCCAGAGCTTCTGGATAGGGCTACCTTTAGTCTCACTTTCCTTCTTTGTGCTCCTCCAACCTGCTGTCTGTTCAGCTTGGCCGGGGCTTTTCCTGCAGAGCTCCACTACATTGTCTTTGGAGCAAAAAATCTTGTGTTAGCTGTATTGGGTGGTGTCCTGGTCTTTTCTCATTAGAGAGAGAGAGAGGTCTTGGAAGTATGAGCCTTGGAAATCCTGTTTGACTAAGACAGCTCTGGGCTTCAGCCCTTTGTTCTGTCAAGTAGCCAGTGTGCTGCCTTTGGGTCTCCATTGTAATTCTGTTCTGTTTTTTGTTTTTGTTCAGAAATACCCTTCTGCTTTTTTGGAGTTAACCCAATAGCCTTGTGTTGTTAGATGTGTTAGGTATTTTGCAATCTTTAGTTCTTTGAGTCTTCAGGAAAGCCTTAGGCCTTGTATTTATTTCACCATCTCAGATGTCTTGGGGAGCAAGCCTAGCACTCTTAGCAAATAAAGTCCTCTCTGCCTCTCTAGGTTCCTCACTTGCAAATTATGTCTCATGAATAAAAGTGGAAAAAAGATGAGGCAAATCTGCTTTTTTCAGCTGAGTCACTGCACTGAAGCATATATTTCTACCAAAAAATATGTGGAAATAATGGAGGAGAAAAGCTCAAAGTCAAATTCATATGTGGGCGCAAATAGATGCAAATGTATTACTACCTGCATCTGTGTGTATACATTTTGTTAGAACGATAGACTTGTTCATTTCTTTACATGAGTAACAGTGTGGGCTTTAGAGTCAGACTTGGGTTTGGATCCAACTCCAGTAACTTTGAGGAGAAGAAATCTTATCCTCCCTAAGCTCAGATTTATTTTATTTCCCATAATAATAGTAGCTTTTAAGAAAATAGTGTTGCTTGTAGAGTGAACATAAAGTGTTTATTGGGTGCCAGATATGTGCTTGTAACAGAATATGATTACAAATAACCGAAAAGTAGAATGACGGTGACTAAAGCTATAAGGATGTTTACCATGTAGTAAAGTCTGCAGATAGAGGGTTCCAGAATTCAGTGGCAGCCAAAATGTCATCAGGATTCTCTTGGGTTTATTTGCCTCTGTGTTGCAAAATGGCCGCTGTAGCTCTCAGCATCGTTTCTTCAAATGACAGTGTACAAAGCTGTCCTCATCTGTTTTCTGTTGCTCTGTTGAAAATACCTGAGGCTGAATACTTAAAAAGAAAGGTTTATTTAGCTTGCAGTTTGGGATGCCCAAGGGCGTGATACCAACATCTGCTAGCTCTAGTGAGGGCCTTCTGGTTATATCACAACATGGCAGATGGCAAAATGATGGTGGCACATGGGAGAAGGATAGATCATGTGGCATATGAAAAGCCAGAGAAAGATAGAGGCCAGGCTTGCTCCTAGGAGAACTCCATGAGAGCAGCATTAATCCATTTTGAGGGCGATGACCCTGAGGACCTAACCACCTCCCATTAGGCCCTATCTTATAGAGGTTCCACCCGCTCTTAGTACCACCACACTGGGAGCCAAGTTCCCAGCACATGAACCCTTGGGGGACAAACAACATCAAACTCCTGCAAAACCCAGAGCAGTAAGGATGGGCAGCAATAAGGGAGCTTTCTCCTCGCTCTTTTTAGGGAGAACCAGCCTTCAGAAGCACCAGCTGACCCGCCCGAGTCTCTGTAGACCTGGGTAGCACAGCAGGTGTAGGGCCAGCACTGGCAGAGGGGAGATCCTGACAGGTTACCCCTGGCCCTGGGCACACTGGCCTGTAAGACGGGGTCTTGTTAATAGGAGAACTGGAGTGGCACTTAGATGACTCATAATAGCAGCTGACATCATTTTTAAAATACTGTAAAATCAAAAGTACATCTGGATGGAATTTTGGTTTTTTTCTTTTTTTTGTGTGGTGCAGGGCTTTGAACCCAGGACCTTGTGCATGCTAGGCAAGCACTCTACCACATCCCAGCAAATTTTTAAATGCTCAGTCACTATAAATAAAGCAGTTCTAACATTTTAGTCCACATGCTTTCAGACACCAAATTTTTGTATATTACATGTAATGATATAAGTTGTATACTGTTTTTTCATGAGTTCATCTTATTCAAAAATACATGGAATCAGGGTGCTGGTGCATGCCTGAATTCCAAGTGCTCAGGAGACCAAAGTGAGAGGACACAGTTCTTCCATTTACTGAGCCCCTCATTCCAGATGTTTGTGCATTAGCTGAAAGATTAAACAGACCATCTTTTCATTCTTTCAGACCACATGACCCAACTGAATTGAGCCCCCAACGCTAGTCTGTTTAAAGGAAAAAGAGGATTATTTCTTACATGCAGTGTGTGGGAGTTTGGGATCAACCAGAGAAACATAGCAAGACCCTGACTCTTTAAAAAATAAAATTTAAAAAAGAAGGTGGAGGGCAGCTGGGTGGTGATGGGCATGTGCAGTATGTAGGACAGGTGCCCTTTAAGGAGGGAATCAGTGGGAGCAGAAGGAGCAAGGCGGGATGCTCTGGGCTGGGGAACCAAGACTGCTTGTTGCGGAAAGGGTGAGGGAGTAGCAGGAGACAGGGGGCTTCTAGTTTTAGGCCCTTATGTGGACTTTGGCTTCATTTGTCTGGTGGTCCTGAGGATGGAACCTATGGCCTTCACTTTGAGCTACATCCCCAGCCCTTTGTTTTACTTTTTATTTTGAGACAAAGATTCACTCAGTTGCCCAGGCTGGGCTTGAACTTACATTCTCAATGCCTCAGCCTCCCAAAGTTCTGGGATGATTGTTAAATAGGGCGCAGAGGCAAACTCCCTGGTTAGGTTTCAGAAAATTGTTGATTTAGCTGCTGTGTTGAGAGAAGGGGAGAGCAGGTCTCCGGGCTAATACCGTCAGCCACGCAGCAGCTGGAGCGGCAAGGATGAGGGTGGTAATAATGGAGGTGTGGGGAAGTAGTAAAATACTTATTTTACTTAAAATGCTTATTTTGAAAGTTGAGCCAGCATGAGTTGCTAATGAATTAAATGTAGGTGTGAGAGAAGAATCAAACTCAGTTTACAGCTCAATACCCAAGACACCCAACTCCTGTCCCCCCAAAAAAGCTTTGCTAACTGGACATGTTGGTGTGTACCCGTGATCCCAGCTACTCAGGAAGCTGAGGAAGGAGAATCTCTTGAGCCTAGGAGTCCAGACTAGCCTGGGAAACAGCGAAATTCTGTCTTTAAAAAAAAAAAAAAAAAAGCTATATAGAGCCTAATTCTGACATTTGGGAGGCCTTTTTTTTTTTGGTACCAGGGATGGAACTTGGGTCCTTGTGCTTGCACAGCAGGCGGCAAAACCACTAAGCTAAATCCCCGGCCTTGGGAGGCTTTTGATAGATTTTTGCCCTTGAAAATGTTTGTACCTATTCACGTGCCCATCAACAGTGCATTTGGGGTTTTTTGGTGTTTGCTGTTGTTCCAAGAGTTTTTTTTAGGATTTATTGAAAGAAATAAACTTATATTTAAAAAATAGAGTTACCTCACAAACTGAAAGCCAGGAACAAAAAGGGCA